GTGGTGGTATTTTTATATTGACTGATTCTTGCCCTTAAATTAGAAATGTCAAAGTAGCCTAGCAGAACTCAGTTCCAGAGCCCTTCCGCCCTGTCATACTTGAGTATCATTGCATTGTGGTCACAAGGTCCTTCACGTGTGCTTCAGACAGTGGACGCTCTGTATATAGCGTCTTTGTCACAGAACTTCCCCAGGACTCCTGGAGCCCTCTGACCAGGAGAGTCCCTTTAGCAGAGTTATCGTCTGTCTGATGTGCTGGATCCCCTGATGGCCTATCTTTTCTTGTATAAATGTTGCCTTTTGCCTTTACTTGGTTTTTACTTTGTTTCATGACAATGGGAAAACTGAAGTTTTAAAATTTTTTTTAGAAAAGAAGAATCTATTCTCAGTGGAGCAGTTTTGCCCAGTAGGTGGTAGAATCAAATGCCATTATGCCATTTTTAATTTTTAGTGATGATTAAAGAATAGCATATGTGAGTTCTAGCTTTAACATCAGCACATTATAAATAGTAGACACTGACCTGATATTACAGCATGAGAAACGAAGACTTATGAAAAAGCGTTCTGTTTTATGAACTCTAAATTTATCTGAATCCTTCCATGTGTACTTAAAGGATCTTATCCCCAGCAGGTTTTATTCTTCTGAACTATAATTAGGTGACTTTTTTCCATTCTGAAAATAATTGGATCAAATACATTTTAAGTCCAGGATCTGAAAGGCAGAGGAATCCATTTTCTTTGCTGTTTCTAATTTCAACTTCTTGTATTTACTCTGTCTCATCATATCCAGAACATCTTCAGATATAGAAGTCCTTGCTAATAGTAAAGGTTCCATTAGCATCCTCCTGCACATTTCCTTGACTTTATGTCCCTCCCCAAATTTTATGGTCTTCACCAGCTGTGGGCAAACTACGGCCCGCGGGCCGAATCCGGCCCGTTTGAAATGAATAAAACTAAAAAAAAAAGACCGTACCCTTTTATATAATGATGTTTACTTTGAATTTATATTAGTTCACACAAACACTCCATCTATGCTTTTGTTCCGGCCCTCCGGTCCAGTTTAAGAACCCATTGTGGCCCTCGAGTCAAAAAGTTTGCCCACCCCTGGTCTTCACCTTGTGCTGCTGCAATAATAATAGCTGACAGAGTGAATATGTGCGGTTGCCTAAGCTACGGACTGATGTGTGTAATACTCTGAAAATCCTGTGAGGTATCCTTTTTACCTTAAAGAAGGGCACTCATTCAAGGTCACAAAGTCATTGCAGAGCTAGAGTTTCAGATTGCACACCAGACTGAGGCTGTAAAAAAAAAAAAAAAAAAAAAAAAAAGACACCCAGAAATTGGTTGTTTTGTAGTGTTTTCCTAATTTAAATTTAGCGAAATAACCAATTTACATTTGAACTTACATTATAATCAGAAAGGTGTACTGGTAGGATTAACATATTTGCCTCTGCTTGAAATAAGTAGGTTAAAAATGTTTGGGAAGAACACGGTATTAATGGAGAGTTTCTGACAAATGAGTCATTTCTTGCAAGAGTTTTACAATTGCATTTGAATCTTAAAGTGATACTTTTTTTCTTGTTGTAAGTTTACCACAGAATTTGACTCTAAACCCAAAATAATTCTTGTTACATGACTATTAATTTGCATGCTTTTAAAAATATTTTTAATTGATTTTTGTAGTGTGAGAGGAAGGGAGAGGGAGAGAGAGAAATACTGATGTGAGAGCAAAAAATCAATTGGCTGCCTCCTGCATGCCCCCTACTGGGGATTGAGCCCACAAGCAGGGCATGGCAGCTTCTCAGTATACCGGGTGACACCCTACCAACTGAGTCACATTAGCCCAGGGCTGCATGTTTTTATTAATTTCTTTCTGTGAGTTTACTGGTCTTCTTAATTTTTCAAAATTGTAATGGTGACTTTTTATGATCAGATTTTAATTATTTTTATTGAATATTAAAATTTAGGTACAAAGTCAACCACTTATAATAAAAAAAAATACTCAGAACATTTAAAATGTTAAAACCTTAAACTGCTATTCTGATACACATGTAAAGCAAATAGTGCATTTTTTTTTTTTTTTTAGTCAGGTGTCTGAGAGATGCAAAAATCAACAAAATCTGGTCTTTCCCTCAGGGGACAAGAAATCTGGGGAAACCAGTACAAAAATAAAGGTTTCAGTAATAAACAATGTCATTAACAGCCATTTTAAATCAATCCCACCTCCTCCAGGAACCCTCCCAGCCTCCCCCAGCCCAGGAGAGGTAGATGCCCCTGAGTCACACTTGCAACTTGCGCTGCCCTGAGGTTGAGCACCTGGTCTTGCAGTACCTGGACCTGTCAGCTTCTCAAAAACAGGCCCTTCTCATTGGTCCCTCACTCTGTGCTCCTAGGTGGGCAGTGGTTAGAGCACAGGTTTCAGAATCAGGTTTGGGTTCTGGTCTCAGTTCTGGTGATTCCTAGTTGTGCAACCTGAGCTAGTGAAGTCACTAAACCTGTCAGTGTTTCATCTTCCTTAGCTCAGGCTGCTTTTAGGCAGTTTTTTAACAGGAGAATGGGGATTAGAATTGTACTTTAAAAGATGGGTAGAATTTGGATCAGCAAACGACCCTTTGCTTAGCCAGGTGGAAAATGGCGAAACATTTAAACTAGCCATCACTAGTAAGTCAGCTCTATTTCTCAATTTTCTTACCAGGATTAGAATTGGTCTGACCTGGTGGTGAGTCCTAGATGGGCCCTTAGAAGCTGTTAGCACTTGGGCAGATTACCTTCTCTCAGACTTGGCCTCCTCGTGTCTGTAACAGGAGACGTGATGCTTAACTTGCAGGGCTGTGGTGAATCCAGAGTAGTGTGTGTGAAGTACTTACACTTCTCAGTTCAGTCCCATGTGGTCCCACCCTACTTCGACCCTTTACGTACTCCAAATATTAAAGGTAAATCATGGCTATATATCACATAAATTAATCAGCTACTTTAATAAGCTAGATAGTAAATGACGGCGGCATTAATTTTGTAAATGTCATCATGGTACTTAGCATGTGTATGTCATACTGTTTGAATGTGGGCCTGCTTTGTTTTTCTTTTTCCCAGATGGTATATTACTTATGGTCATGAACTCATTTGGAAGAACAGGGAGCCTCTAGTGAAAATTTGGCATGAAATGAGGACTAATGGCCCCAAAAAAGGAGGTGGCTCTAAGTAAAACGGGTTGGACGACCCTGGTGCATCTGGTCCTTGCTGCCGGGAAGCCCCAGGAACGCATCGGCCCTGGAGTGACCGCGTCTTTGCTCCTGCCTGGAAGACACCGGCTTCTGCTTTCCCAGAATTCTAAACTGTGTCCTCAGTACATGTCTCACTAGAAAGTGAACTCTGACGATGTTGTGACATAAAGGTTTATACTCTAGTTTGTAAACAGAGGGTGTGTGTCTCTTCTGAAGAGCAGTAGTTTGCCCTGGGATCCTGTTATATCTGATGTAGGTTGAGCTGTGAACCCAGCAGGGTGCACAGGGGAAGACCTGATGGAAACTTGGAGGGGAATCTAGAATGGCTCCCAGGTTTTTGCACATTGGCCTTCTCACATCTCTGCTAAGCATTTACTCTTACCTACCTGCCCCTTTCCTGGGTTGACTAATAGGTAAAAGTTAAGAGTATCTTCTCTCTGACACGGTCTGAAACAACAGCTGCATTATTTTATAAAGTTTCCCAAGAGAGTTAATGTTTCCTGGCAGTTAGTGGCATACACAAAAAGCTATTTTTAGGCTTTTGCTTTCTTGGTTAACATTGAAACTTAATGAGACTTAAAGGAAGTATCTCGGATAAATTCAGACTAGAGCCTGAGCCTAATTGCATCTTACATTTGAAAAGATACATTCTTTGAATTTAAGCATTTTACTGAAATACCAGACAATGGTCATCATAGTAGCTTCACTTTTGTGGAACTAACTTGCCCTCATGATTGAGAGTTATTTCTAGGAAATGCAATTTGAGAATTTAAGTTTTTCTTGAGTAGATTTACAGAGGAGTTTGTTTTTTAAAAAATATTTTTATTGATTTCAGAGAGGAAGGGAAAGGGAGAGAGAGAGAGAGAAACATCTATGATGAGAATCCATCAGCTGCTTCATGCAAGCCCCCCATTGGGGATCGAACCTGCCATCTGGGCATGTGCCTTGACTGGTAATTAAACTGTGACCTCCTGGTTCATAGGTTGATGCTCAACTACTGACCACACCAGCTGGGCAGGACTGAATATTTCAGTCACCAAATCTAGGTGGCTAATTCCTGGTCCATGGAGGTCACACAGGGCAGCTGCTCCACTGGTGTTCACAGTATGCTCCTCTCCTGGAGCCTCCTACGCCATAGCCTGGCCAGGGGAGCCCTGTGTCCCTTGGCTGTGACTCCAAGCTAAGACAGGCAGTGGTTTGGAGAGGAACCCTACTGTGAGGGCTGGGCTGTACTGCACTTCTCTCTGAGGTGCAACACCTTGGATACCATCCAAGCAAGTGCTTGGAATGCAGCTCTGGGTAACCAGTGCTGTTTCATTAGTGTTACTGGTGTGATCGCTCTGCAGTGTGCACCGAGGCCAGGTGTCAGAAATTCAGGAGACCTTTGCCCTAGCCAGTTTGGCTCAGTGAGTAGAGTGTCAGCCTGCGGACCAAAGGGTTCTGGGTTCAATTCCCGCTCAGGGCACATGCCTGGGTTGCGGGCTCGGTCCAATGTGCATGAGGCAGCCAATCAATGATTCACTCTCAAAATTGATGTTTCTATCTCTTCCTCTTTCCTCTCTGAAATAAATAAAAATATATTTAAAAATATATTCAGGAAACCTTTGGTTGTGGCCAGGGGCTTGTTTCTTTTCTTTTTTTTTTTTTTATATATATATTTTTTATTGATTTTTTACAGACAGGGAGAGAGAGAGAGAGTTAGAAACATCGATGAGAGAGAAACATCGATCAGCTGCCTCCTGCACATCTACTGGGGATATGCCCGCAACCCAGGGACATGCCCCTGACCGGAATCAAACCTGGGACCCTTCAGTCCGCAGGCCGATGCTCTCTATCCACTGAGCCAAACCGGTTTCGGCCAGGGGCTTGTTTCTGATGCTTGCATGCAGTAGACTGACCATTAGCCTGGAGGATTACCCAAATTTAGCTTTGCAATAAAACAAGAATATAGGCCCAGGAGGGAAGGGAATTTATAGTGATTATAATGATCATTTACAATCGTCATTCCAGGGTTAGCTTCTGACTACACGTTGTGGCTGTCCATGTTACTAGCTCTTCCCCTATGTTTGTAGCATAGTGGCCAAAGATGTGGCAGTTTTATAAACTAAAAGCCTTCCACCATGCTTTCAAATTAGAACGTGGGAAAGGTCCGCTGAGGGCTAATGCCAATTCCCAGTGAAAAGTGGGTTGGTTGTCACACATTGAGCATTGTTAAAGCAAATGCTGGTGCCTCACAGCTGATTGGTGCGTTTTCTCTGGGAAGCATGGCCCCAAGTTTTCCCTGTGCCCCTCTCATCGCTGCGCCTCGCCTGCGTGACTGCGAGGCCCCGAGGTGCAGCCCCGCCCGAACGCGGCAGCCTCGCCACGGCCACGCGGTCCCAAGACAAACCCGCGCTGAGGCGGCTGCCCCGGGCGCTGGCTGAGGGCGGTCCACAAAGCCAGGCCTGATTTATTCGGTAACCGTTAGGGAACTCGGACTATATTAGGGAACGTTCTAGAAGTTGGACCTTTGTCAATGCCTCCAGGCAGTTTCGTCCACCCCCTGATCCCCGCTTCGGCGCCCTTCGGGTCGCGCGGTCTTCCCTGGCTCGCTCCGCTCCAGCTGTGCACACCGGGTCCCAGCCGCACCTCCCCGGTCCTCCCCACTCGCCTACGGCCACCCCCGGCCATGCTGCGGCGCTGCGGCGGCGCGGGGAGGGCCGCAGGGGCGGGGACGCCGGGCGGGGGCGGCGCTGCCCGAGCGCGGGGAGCCGGTCGCCGGGCGGGCGCGGGGCGGCATGGCGTGGCCCTGCATCAGCCGCCTCTGCTGCCTGGCGCGGCGCTGGAACCAGCTGGACCGCTCGGACGTGGCGGTGCCGCTGACCCTGCACAACTACTCGGACGTTGAGAGCGAGGAGCCGGGCCCGGGCGGCGCCGCCTTGCGCACGGGCGCGTCCCCCGCAGGCGCCCGGGACCCCGGCCGGGACGTGCCGCTCACTCAGTACCAGCGGGACTTCTGCGCGTGGCCCGCGCCCGCGAGGCCCAGAGATGCGACGCAGGGGCGCAGGCCGGGGGCAGGCGGCCGGAGGGGCACCTCTCCCGCACCCCCTGGCCAGGGGATCTACGTGCTCCCCATCGGCGATGCGGACGCGGCTGCAGCAGCGACCTCGTCGTACAGGTATGGGGCTGGGGACGGGGAGCGCTTCGCGTCCAGACCCGGTGGGCGCAGGAAACCGAAGCCGGGAGCCAGGAGGACGCGGGTGGGTGGGGGCGAGGGGGCGCCTGGAACCCCCATCCCACACGACTTCGAGAGCGGCGGGCGGCCTCGAAGATCATTCCCTTTGGCCCCTGGGTGCGGCAGGGGTCTCTTCGCTGCTCCCCGACCCGCCTCAGAGTGAATGAGCCAATACCTCCGCCGATGGAGAGCTCACTACCTCACCTCCAGCCCCGCACCCATCTCGGGCTGCGCCGTCAGAAAGCCTGCCTTGGAGGTAAATCTGCTTCCCTTTAACTCCCACCAGGTGGGCCCGGCCTCAGGAGGGGTGCGCGCAGGCGGACAGCCTCAGCTCCCTCTGGCCCGTGCGCTCTGGGGGATTGGGGGTGAGGCCCAAGCAGCTGGGCTGTTAAAAACACTGCCCCTTTGAGCAGTTACTTCGCTCCCAGGAATTGCCCTATGGGGGTGGAGCTAAGGAATACAAGGTCCGTTGCAACATTGTACAGCCGAAGGTGGAAACAACCCGCTGTCCCGCGGAGGGGCTGGATAGTTGCAGCTCCGCCAAAGGATGGGCCACTGGGAGCCGAGAAGGTACTGATAACCGAAGCTCCTCAACAGGCCCAGGTCAAAGCAGCAAGATGCAAACAGCATGCCTGCTACTCCGTTTTCAAAAGGGGTGTTGATGTACACATACAAGCCAGGAGATCGCTGATGGGTGGTAACCTGTGCGGGGGGGGGGGGGGGGGGGGGAGAGGGAGGGTGGATCATGCTAGCGAGGAAGGAGACCGACTTTGCACTATACTCTGTCTCACACTGTCGCTTTAAAAAGAAAAAGCGCCCAGGTGTTACCTTTTTAAAGCAAATAATATTTTGCCTTGACCGGTTGGCCGGCGGCGCACCGAAAGACCGAGGGTTTGATTCCAGGTCTAGGGCACATACCTCCGTTGCAGATTTGATCCTCGACCTCAGTCGGGCGGTGGGGGATGCAACCAATCCATGTGTCTCTCACAGGGATGTTTCTGACGCGCCCCACCTTCCTCTCTCCCTCCCACTCTCTGTAAAAAAATCAGTGGAAAAAATATCCTCGGGTGAGGAGTAACCAAAAATAAATAAATAAAATTTTAGAGGGAAGCCCTGGCTGGTTTGGCTCAGTGGATAGAGCGTCAGCCTGCGGACTGAAGGGTCCCAGGTTCCATTCCGGCCAAGGGCACATGCCTGGGTTGTGGGCTCGATCCCCAGTGGGGGGTGTGATTCTCTCTCATCATTGATGTTTCTGTCCCTCTCCCTTCCTCTCTAAAATCAATAAAATATATTTTTAAAAAATGTTAGAGGGGAAAAAACACTTCTATTATAAGCGTCCTTATAGCTAAATCTTTGTTCCTATAATAATTTCTTTAGTATAAATTCCTACTTGTGGTATTAAAGGAGCAAAGAGGTATAAACTTTCCACCTCAGTTTTATTTTCGAATCAACTGTATTTTTTTTTTCTTTAATCCTCACCCGAGGATATTTTTTCATTTATTATTTTTAAAGAGAGTGGAAGAGAGAGGGGAAAAAATAGCGATGTGAGTGAAACCTATTAATTGGTTGCCTCCTGCACGAGCCCTGACCAGGGCCTAGGCCGGGGAGGAGCCAACAACCGAGGTACTGCCCTTGACTGGAATCAAACCCGGGACCTTTCGGTCCGTCCGCAGGCCAATGCTCTGTCTACTGAGCCAAACCGGCTGGGGCTCGAATCAACTGAGGTATAATTTCCATACAGTGAAATACATCCACTGTAAATGGATGACTGGTAGAAGCCTGGGCACCACCACCATTATCAAGACATGTAGAACGCCTTCACGGGCCTGCAGTTTTTAAGAGCTCGATGGGGAGTGATTGTTAGCGGGTGGTCTGTGTTCATGGACTCCTGTTCTCGGCGTGTGGGAGTCGGGGCAGGGAAGGAGGTGGTGGGTCCTGACTGCTGCACTGTGGGGCCCTGAGCCAGGAGGAGGTCTGGGAGGGCAGCGGTCCTGGGTGTGCAGCGCCTTCACACGGCTGATGTTCTGGGGGCCAGCAGCAGGATGGGGTGATGGCAGGGAGCAGCTTCGGCTCAGGGCAAGGAGCACTTTCCAAGAGTCAGAAGTGACGGGCAGGGAGCAGCTGCCTCGTGTGGTACTGGCTCCTCCTCGCTGGATGTTTGGAGGCTGGGCTTTAGAAGCGGTCCCTCCTCCGTGGTGAGCGGATGGCAGGTCTGAACGTCCTGCTGGGTCCTCCCCGCTCCAGTGACACGTCAGGCACTAGCTGCCACTCTGCGTAGCACGTACTGGGCACCAGGCTCAGGACTTCCTCCGGCTCTCTCCCCAAGGCCTCACAGGAACCTCTGCAATCAGCTCCGTCTTGTCGAGCAGCTGGCACAGGCCCAAGGAGCAGGCAGTAGCACGGTGTGTCTCACCTCAGAGACCAAATGTGTACCCCACAAGCTATTCCCTAGGGCAGTGATGGCGAACCTATGACACACGTGTCAGAGGTGACACTTGAACTCATTTTTTTGGTTGATTTTTCTTTGTTAAATGGCATTTAAATATATAAAATAAATATCAAAAATTTAAGTCTTTGTTTTACTATGGTTGCAAATATCAAAAAATTTCTATATGTGACATGGAACCAGAGTTAAGTTAGGGTTTTTCAAAATGCTGACACGCCGAGCTCAAAAGGTTCACCATCACTGCCCTAGGCCCAGCTCAGTTTGGGGACAGACGGGCTTGCCCAGGGGAGGACCTGCTCCCCCAGGAGAAACAGAGCAGCAGATGGCTCAGGCAGCCGGTCTCGGGAACCCTGCGGCTTCAGAGGCAAAACTGACCCGATAGGGCCCTGGCCCGCTCGCCTCCTGGCATCCGAGTGCTGATCCCGGACAGACCCGGCTGCTCCCTGCACACGCGGCCCAGCTGCACCGCTGCCAAGAAAAGGCAGCTTTGTTGACTGCAGGGCCTGAAACCAGGCCAGGGCTGTGGGTGGGATGAAACAGGAGTGGATCCAGCCCACACATGGTGCTGCCCAGCCAGCTGGACACTTTCCACCAAATAGAGCCTCTGCGGGCCAGGTGCTCCTGTGGACACGGCAGGTCTCTGCCTTCCTGAGCTCACCGGCTAGTAGTGTTGACGTAATTAAAATAGGCCTTTTCTGCTCAGAGGAATTACGTCTTCATCTAAAGAATGCTACTCCAAGGACATGGAGGGAGGCGGTGGCAGCCCATCACTTGCCACCTCCCCCCAGGGAGCTGGCTTTCCCTGCTGCATGCCACCTCCCCTCCCTGCACCCATGCTTGAGTGCAGAGCCTTGCAAAAGAGGCAGACCATCTTGTAGGGTTTGCGATGGTCACTATGATTATTCTCTTTTGCACGAGTTAAGACAAATGGTTAAAAACTAGAAGCAACATTGAGCCTTATTTTCCTTCTCACTCGCAACCAGGGGCGGAGGACTTTGCTGTGCTGGGCACTCTCCAGGCCGGCACCTCCCCTGGGCATGGGGTCCTCAGTGACCTGTGCTGCAAGTGGGCACCTTCCCTGGCTCTGGGCCGCTGGGGCCCCTGAGGCGTCCCAGAGACAATGCAGGGAGCACTGGAGGGAAGGGCTGGGGCTTGGCTGTCTCCTAGGCCCAGCACACACCAGGTGTTTGCAGTTTGGGACGAATAAGACGCAAGTGCCAACAGTTCTTTCCTAACTCTCCGCGCAGCCAAGCCAGCTGCTCATCTGCAACATAAGCGTTAAGTTTCCGCTGCTACTTCCTTGGGGGGTCAGGTGAGCCAACTTCACGGAGCAGGTGGAGACTCAGAAGTGAGGGGCACAGCTAGGTGTGCTTCCTCCAGGACGCGGCTGTGCCCGGGCAGCACACATCCTTTGCAACTACAACTAGTTTTTGTGAGGGAGGAGCCCCCGGAGCCGAAGCAGCGTTTCAGCAGTGGGCGTGGCCGGGGATTCTCCACGAAGCACGGGCCAGGGCAGTGGCCCTGCAGGAGCAGGGGGAGGCGGCTGACTGTGAGGTTGTGACCCTGGTCTCTGTCCCAGGCAGGAATTCCAGGCCTGGACTGGAGTCAAGCCGGCAAGATCCACAAAGGCGAAACCGACCACGGTGATCACAGCCCACAGCTCGGGATGGGCCGGCGGCCCTGGGGCCGGATTCCAGGTCAGCCTGAGCTGGTGCTGCAGGGCCTGTGGGACAGGCCTTTCTCCTTCCCCATCCCCCGTCTCCCCCCAGATTAGGGACTAGGGGTCGGACTGCAGGGTGTAAATGGCATTATGGCTGGGGCAGCAGTGTCTAAACAGAAACCCAAGGTCCTTTGCACTGGCCAGGTGGTGTCCCCAGTGCTGGCTTCTCTGGTGAGCAGGTGTCTTTCCCGCCGAAGCCCCAGTCTTACCTTTGACGGCCAAGCAGTAGTGACAGGTTCGCGTGGAGATGGGAGGTGGGGACTATTCGGCTCCCGATTCCACCCAGAGGCGGCTTCAGGGAGCAGGATGGACGGTCACGTGCCCTATCTGACCGACTGTGCAGTGACCCTGCCCACTGGAGGTTCCCCTGAAGACCCTTCAGGTTAGTAACTTCAACTCACAGAGGACAAAGGGGGGCCCAGAGGAGGAACTGTTTCCGGAGCCGAGGGAGGGGAAGTGGAGGGAGAGGCCCACTGATCTGTGCCACGTCTCGTGTTTCAGGTCCCTGAGGTGAGGAAGACGTTCACTCCTAACGCCTCAGCCATCTTCCAGGCTCCGGCTCCCCGGATCCTCAACGTGTAACTCCCACCGAGGAGAGAGCCAGCGGGCTGGAAACGGGTGAGATCTGGGACCGACAGTCCCCTGCTGTCAGAGGGGGACGGCTCCTGCCTTCTCACCCTGGGGTGCACTCCCCCCAGCTGCCACCGGGCTGCAAGCCTGGCGCAGGACATGGCACCACTCAGCCCAACTCTGGACCTCAGCCATCCTCAGGAAGCGTGCGAAGTCTCCTGATCTTTCAGTTGCCCATTTGGGCCGCCCTTATTTTTAAACTGGAAGAACTCGAGGATGAATTGTTGTGAACTGAACTGGCCCAGGGGCACTGAGGCATGTGGACAGCAGGTCCCTGAAAGAGCCAGTCATGCCCGCTGTTTTCCTGGCTGCATGGTAACGTACAGCCTGCGGTAACCAAGGTAACGTTCTTGGCTGTTCCTACAAATGGTCCCACATGTTCAAGCTGTAGAAGAAACCTTAGGTTATCACCTGCATGTGATCCATAATTACCAGCAAGAAGTTACCAAAAAAACACACAGAAGATCAATCACAGGGTTTCAATTTTAAAGACATAGCTTCTTTATGGCCAAGATGACCCTGGTGTTTTTATTTTTCTTTTTTTCTGTTTTTTATTGATTTCAGAGAGGAAGGGAGAAGGAGAGATAGAAACATCAACGATGAGAGAGAACATTGACTGGCTTCCTCCTGCATACCTCCTACTGAGGATTGAGCCCACTACCCAGGCATGTGCCCTTGACCGGAATTGAACCTGGGACTCCGCAGGTTCAATTTCGTCCGCAGGCCGATGCTCTATCCATTGAGCCAAACCCGCTTGGGTGACCCTTACATTTTTAACAAAGAATTTCTCGGGATGCTTGAAGTATTGAATGAATGAATGCCATTTACCTTGTGGCAGGTGTCTGAGCCCACATTTTCTTACTAATTCCAGCTTCTCCCTTAACGTACTGATAACTAGAAGGGAACTACCATCCACGCTGGCTAAGAATTAAGAGCTCTTCTTTCTTTTGTAATTTTCAAATTTTATTTACTGATTTTAGAGAGAGGGAGGGAGAAATATCGCTTTGCTGTTCTACCACATTCATGCATTCACTGGCTATTTCTTGTATGTGCCCTGACTAGGGATCGAACCTACAGCCTTGGCGTATTGGGATGATGCTCTAACCAAGTGAGCTACACAGCCATGGTTGGGAGCTTTTTAAAAAAATTCTAATTTAATGTTATTTTAAAGATATATATTTGTATTGATTTCAGAGAGAGGGAGGGAGAGTTACATTAATGATGAGCATCATTGATCGGCTGCCTCCTGCATGCTCCCTACTGGGCATGTGCCCTGACTGGGAATTGAACTGTGACCTCCTGGTTCCTAGGTAGATGCTCAATCACTGAACCACACCGGCCGGGAGCTTTTTTTTTAAAAAGAAAACTGCAGTATTAGCTTCATTCCCTGAAAGTCCTAAATGTCATCTACACCAGCCTTTATTCTCAAGCCTGCCCTGCCAGTGACAGGGAGCTCACTGCCTGTTGAGGAGGCAGCTCATTTTGTCTTTGGAAAACTCTTTCCTTTAAAATTCCAGCCAGTGCGTCTGTGGGGAACAAGCCTGATCCCCTCTTTGCACAGCAGCCCTTCAAACCCTTGAAGGCGTTTATGTCCCATCTTTAAGACTGGAGGCACAGCCTAGGTCAATTTGGTAAGGAGGCACAAGGATTCCCTTTGGACTTTTCTCTCTCCAGCCCGAGGGGGACTCTAGTCTGGAGCACTTATTTCAGCCACAAGACGTGACATTTGGGTCTTAGAAGCCCTTCAGCGTGGAGGTGGGGCTGTGTTTTAGCTCAGGCTGCAAAGGGAGTGACCCCTCAGAGGTGCTACCTCTGGTAGGATAGCCCTTCCCCTCATTCCAGCAAAGGAAATGCTCCGAGAATCATTTTAAAGGCAAAACCAAAGCCATATGCTGACACAAAGGGTTCTATTATTTCAGACTTCATTGGTTTGCACACTAGATGTTGCTAAAAGAGACTGCTGCAGGGCATTCTGTGGGAAATGAACAGATTAATGAGAGAGTTTCAGATTTTACTAAAACGCAAAAATATACTGTATCAATTTTTTGTTTATTTCTTTAATTATAAACGAGCACCTTCTACGATTTCCTTCATCCTCCTCTTGATAACAAGCACTTGACTGTCTCCCGGCTGCAGCTGGTACCCTGGAGGCTCACTGAGCCCGAGAACCCTCGCTTGGCTGCAGTCCACACCGGTGTTGCATGTGGCCTCACAAAACCCACCAACCTCCCGCCACTTAGCTCCCCCACGTGCCCCCCTCCCAGGAGCCTAGGTAAACAACTGTCTTTGAAGCTAGTTTTGGGCTCAGATCTTGACTTCTCCATTTGCTAGCTCTGAGCAGTTTAAGCTTCCATTTCCTCGTCTGCAAAATGAGGCGAACCCCCTGACCTGGCTAAGAGTCTGGGTGTATGTGCAGGGTGCTTAGGATGGTAAGCAGAGTACAGCTTTGTAATAATTCTTTCCTACCCCTTTCTCAGGGAGTCAGCTCTATTCTCATGTGCAGCTTTGCTCCATCTCCCCCATGCTGACACAGTCCCTCCCACTCAGACCTGCCCTTCACACGGCACACCTGGCGGTGCCTTCCCTCCCCGAGCCTGCCTCTTGCTGGCATACTTGCATCCAAAGACCTTTTTGAATTGCACTAGAACAGGGCTTTTCAAACACCCCACCTGACAACCTTCCTAACCAGACTTCATTAATTAAAAGGACATCTGGGTTCGAAGAAACTTCCTCTCACTGGCTCTAGGTCTTAGTAAGGCCTAACGTGGCGCTACTGGAGTGGACTTAAGAAGCCACGGACCCGGCTGGTGTGGCTCAGTGGTTGAGTGTCTCCAGGTTAGGGTTCAATTCCCAGTCAGGGCACATGCTCATGTTGCAGGCTCAGTCCGCAGTAGGGGGCATGCAAGAAGCGGGTGATCAACGATTCTCATCATTAATGTTTCTCTCCCTCTCTGAAATCAATAAAAATATACTTTAAAAAAAGTTTTTAAAAAAAGGCAATTGAGACAACAGTTTCAACCATGTGGTCCCAAATCACATATATAATAATATACAGTGACAAATGCATTAGAATACTAATGGTAGATATCCTTAAGATGTGGATTTACGGGTAATTAAATTTTTTACTCATATTTACTAAAGTTTCTATATAATAAGCACTTTTGTATTAATTCTGTAAAGAGACAAGTTTTTAAAAATAAAAGTTCAATCTGTTAGCTAACGTCAGCCAAAAGGAAAAGTTCAATATTCCTGATTCCATAAGCAAGGTTAGCCCTGCCGGCAGCGCCTCCACCAGCTGGAGGCGGCCCAGAGGCCCCATGGAGGGAAGCCCCGCGGTCCTTCCAGCTGGTCATTCAGAGCAAGTCCCGCTCTGTGGTGCTTCGAGCTCAGAAACCCGCCTCAAATACTAATCCTTCTGCACCTGTGAATTTAGTAACGCCAGGACTTTAGGCTAAACTACGAGAGCAGCTTCTGAGGAAGCCTGGGCCCTGCAGCCCGCCCACGCCATCCTCCACCAGCAAGAGGGTCCTCAGCACGGGGCCGCTGTGTCGGGTCTCTGGCTGAGAGAACACGCAGGAAGGGAGCCCAGCAGTGCCCCGTTCTCCTTCCTCCAGGCACTCAGCTCCCTGAAGGTCGGCACCAGTGAGGTCTGGTCCCAAGAAAGCTCTGCACTTGGATGTCACAAAGCCCCTCCCTGTGAAGGAAGGGTGGACACAGAGCGGTCATTCTGAAATGTTTCTGCATTTCTGTAGTTTTTAGCCACCATGATAGCAGATGGCCATGCAGGACTCTCTCAGGAGTAACTTCTTCAAGACCTCAGTACAGACAGTTCTCTCCTGCCAGCCACACCCACACGTGTCAGGCAGAGCTGGTCCCTCTCCACGGTGGCTGTAAGGAGGCTCTGAACTGAGCTCAGCAGCTTTCCTTTGCCTCATGCTGTCAGAAATCAGTATGTCCAGTGTCAACATGGATCTTCCAAAATTTTTTCAGACACGTAGCTGTTATCCTTTCCTTGCACAGATAGCCTCATGTTCTTTTTTGGAAAGAAGAGGGAGCATTTAACACAAATACCTATATCTTTGCCCCCTCCTGGTTCTTTCTAACGCAATATAAGAACTTGACCAAAGCGTAGTGATTCAAATTCAGAAAACCCATCACAAATACTAAAAGATTTATTGTAGGTATTTCTGTTACACAATTATATTACACATTATGATACAAATACAGACATATGGGGGCTGTTAAATCATTTAATATTTCTTTTTCAAAAAGGTAATTTCTTTAGGCTTTCTTTCGTCCCTGTAGTCCGTCTGTTCTCACTGGGATGAAACTCTGTCCTGTGGCTGTCACATTCCATTGCTGAATGAACCCACGCACTTGCCCACACCCCATCCGTGTGTGACTAGCTGAGCCTTTACTACCTGTTTTACCACTAAGCCAGGGCACCCTTGCCTTACTGAACAGACCTCCCCCTGCATTTGCAATCCTCAGATGAATAAAAGTGGGTAGGTTTCTCATGGTGTCACCTCCCCACCTTCTTTTCCTGACAAATGTCTGCAGGACTCATGAAAACATGAGTTATGCTGCCTAGGTAAGTTCCTTTGACTCCGACTCACAGGTTTCAAATAGTCTTCGGCAGCTTCCTGACTGGGAATAAACTCATTACTTCCACAGACTGTTAGGAGGCCTGGGTAGCGGACCTTCAGTGGAACTGGAAGTCATCCAGGTACAGGGCTACCTTCCTCCTCACTTCTCCCTCCCACCTGCTCATGGATCATCTATTCTTACTGCTGAGCAGGTACCCCTGTCTTTCGGCTTCCGCAGTCATTTCTCCACCTTTAAGGCACTCACAAGTGTTTCTTTGAAACACTTTCCTTCGTGCAAAAAAACTTGACTGAGAAGGGGAAATGGAATCCACCGATAGGACAGACAGCCCTGGCAGGGCTGTCGCAGGAGCTGCTCCCGCTGGCCGTTCAGCCTGGTGCAGCCTGGGTGACCCGAGAACTGTGGCACCAGCTTGCTGCCTGGCACACACACGAAGCTGTGCGAGACTGCCAGGAGCCGGCATTGTGGGCATTGTCTATTATGAACATATTAAGAGCTCCTGGTTATACTTGAACCTTTCCAGACCAATGCTGGAATGTATCTGTTCCTTGCCTGTGACTTGGCCATCCCTCCTCTCTCAGACTGGCTGTAGTGATGCTCCCGTGCTCCATAAAGTAAGACTTCTGCTCAGGCTGCAACCTTCGGGTCTTTGTTTTCCACACAGCATTACCGCATCCTGTCACCGATGCACGTGGGCCGAGTGCCAATTCTCCACACCTTGGCTACTCGCTGAGTGCTGAGCCTAGTCCTTCAGGTGTTGCCTGGTTAACCGTTGGGCTGCCTATAACCCACCCACAGAATGGGCGAAATCTCTAGCCTGCCAGACTCATGTTCTCCTCCTGGAGGGAGAGTCAGGCCCAAGGTTCCCCCTTAAGGACGCCCCAAGGGGAGAAGGACCTGATACACAGGCCTGGCCCAGCTCTGGACCCTCTAGTGAGCTTTACAGAGAGTGGACAGATGCAAGCTGACAGCATGCACCCACAGCTTCACCCCAGAACCAGGAAACCTGTGTCCTAAAGGGATCTGACCTGGGACT